TCTTGTGAATAGTATCTAATCACACTCTGCAGCATCCACCTGGTTCCCTGATCTGCGTATACTGCTGAGATTTCATTTCCTTGGACTAAAGTTTCTCTCCTTTATTCTCTCCTGCCTAAATGCCAGGCTCTACACACTGCGACACTGTTCAATATTCCTTTTTGTAAAAATACTTCCAACTGAATCTTCTATAGAATTTGCTGGTAGAATGAATTTTAAACCGCAGATAGGTTTTTGAAGCTAGATATTGATCTTCAATTATTTCTTTTTTATATGTTCACTTCTTGATATAAATGTGTGATGTATTGATTTTAAGAGGACAAAAGATTACTTTGCTGGAAACATAGGTAAACATTAACATTTCAATGCTTTGTCCAAGACATAAATAACTGTCAAAAGACATATTTCATGTTTCATTCATTCAGTGCTATTCTATGCCTAACTTGACCAAGTCCTTGAGAATTCAGCTGGACTTTATCCTAGTCGGAATATGTAGGAATGCAGCTGAAGAATACCTATGATTTTACTGATTTATATTTCCAAGCAATTGGAATTTAAAGCATTCGGATGTGCTGCAAGCATTCTAGAGGGTAAGAATGTAGTCCTGAGCAATAATTAATGAAGATTTTATAATTATAACAGAATATACAGTATATACCGGTGTGTGTGTGTGTGTGTGTGTGTGTGTGTGTGTGTGTGTGTATGTGTGTGTGTGTGTTTACAAGAAATATAAGAATAAACAAAATCTAATACCTAAAAAAAATCCAAGAGTATGTGCTCTGTGCCTGTAGGTCTCCCATTTGAGAAGGGACTAGAAGACCTCCAAGATCCCTTCCAAGTCTGTTATTCTGTATTCTATTCTGTAAGAAATGCAGAAAGACTTGACCTCAGATTATCATCTCTTAAACGAAGAGCTGGCAGAGCAATAAACAAAGAACGGATATAGATGAAGTCCTTAACTTTTTATTTAATCAGTCCTGTTTCCTCCTGGTCAGTAGGTAATGAAGAATCAAGGTATGGAAGAATCAATGGCATTTGACTTGTTACCTTCCAACACAGACATCTTAATTTCCACATCAATGTTTGAAAGTTATTTCCTCTCAATTTGTATTAAATAACTATGAAGAATGAATGCTTAACTCCTTTTTAATGAATTGCTTGATGGAAATACTCTTCCAACAGACCTGAAAGAAATACTTCTTTATCAATGTAAAAACATTTAATATTTTAACATTTAACATTTAATTTTTTTAGTCCAGAAAAATAAGAATTCTTTTCTGAAAGTTCAAAACAATTCCACATTTTCGTTCTATGCTGCAGATATTACATTGCTGTACATGTATTTATTCTCCTGTGAAATTTTAAACTGTAGCCAGAAATTATATGCAGGGTATATTGGGATTATTTTTTTTTTTATGGATCCAAGTAAGATAAACTTTTCTTTATGTGCTGAGGCTGAATTTATTAAATGCTTCTGGGCCAAATAGTCCCTGAGCCTGAACAGATAGATCCTTTGATGGATTAAAGAAGTTGTAACTTTGGCCATTATTCCATTTGCTTCTTGCCATTTATGATGTAGCAATAACTGCATTTTCCAATTTGATCATCTCACACTCTTTACACCAACCTTCCCCAAGTAAGTGCACTCCAGGTGTGCAATTATACAACTCCTATCTTCCTCAGTTACCATAGTAATTGTCCCATGATTTTAGTTCTAGAATGCACCAAGTTGGGTAAAGCATCAGAAATGAATAAATGTAAGTGTCTTGCATGCATTGAAAAAGCTAAAAAAATTTCCTTTGTACTGTTGATAATCAACATTATATAAGTGGGGAAAGTATTCGCTGTATTACAGCTACATTCTTTAATTCAGAAAAAAATAAATCATAAACAAATTTTCCATCCCTTCATAAGATTGCAGCCTATAATATCTTTTTCATGCCCATGCAGTATAATAATTCTCAAGTGGGGTTTGTGTATATGACTATATTGGTTTTATATAGGCTCATGAAAATAGAAGGAATACTGTGCTGCAGAGACAGAGAGAGGCACACAGAGAGAACATTTATTGGCCAGATTTGCAAATAAATCATAGCTTTTAAAGGTGTCTTCATGCCTTCCCTCAAGATTTCTATGATTTACCCAGATTAAGACCATAGATTATGAATTAATCTTTTTTCCACATATAATTTAAATTATTCCCATAGTTGCTTTATCTTACTTCTACAATATTTCTTCCTGCATTTGCTCACAGTACTATTTTATTCCATTAATTCCATATATTTATAGAGGCTCCCAATTTATTGATAATCCTGCTGTCATAAAAAGCCAGCATAACAATGACCCAATTAATGCAAATCTGGCTTTTCTTTTCCTTGGAGAAAGCATGAAAGTTGTAGAATGAAGACCATCATTATGCACATATTCCAATTCACTTCAATGGGGCTTGAGCCTTTTCTGTTCAGGATTTCTACCAACATTTCTCATTAATCAAAGGTTTGCTTGAGAGGCTGTGTTTATCCTGGAGAAATCAAATAGCACAGGAAAGAAGATTAAGGTTTGATTACTTTACACCATGCTTTGAAAATAACTTCAATCTTCACTGTTTGCTTCATTTTTGTAAACTCAAAATTGCTGTTCATAAACACAGCATTAAAGAAGATGAGAAATAATCAATACTACTTAAGTGTTGATTTAGGAATGTCTAACTTTGTGAAATAATATTCTCCATATAGGAAGCCTCCAAGTCTGAAGAACCCACATCATTGTGCTCAAAACATCTTATTGTACGAGTCTTGGGAAAGAGCTGATAATGACACTGTAGGAGAAACGTAGAAGGTTTTGTTTCCTAACTTCCAGTAATTTTGAAGTAGGTTCCTATTGGAGACAATTACTGGTTGCTGTTTGAAGTAGTTGAAAGTCAAATATTGAATAATAATTCCCAACTAAACTGAAACAGAGAGCCAACCCAAGTACAGGACAATTCAGTTCCTGGTTATGACAGAGGAGTGCATCATTTGGCTTTCTTGGCAACCTGGAAATGGTATGTGCCACAACCTTATTCCTGGAAGGTTTTTCAGTTCCTCATCTAGCCTGCAGCTCTAGGATTTCCTCATGCATTGATAAATCCAGTCCAACCTCTTCTCCTCTCCAGAACTGGGATTCACTTACCTTCCCTACTGGTTTGCAAATGTGAGCATGCATGTGTCCTCCTCTGGGCATGTGCACAGCCTTCCATGCATGCTCTTTGCTCGTGCATTACATCTGGGCGGGTGGGCAGAGCCTCCCACAGTCGCCATTACCAGTTTGCCCGAACCGGACATAACCAGCTGAATCCCACCACTGCTCCTCTCCTCTCCTCTCCCCTCTCCCCTCCCCTCTCCTCTCCTTGCCTCTCCTCTTCCTCCCTCTTCTCTTTGTTTTCAGCTAAAGTACAGGTATTTCTCAATTTACGACTACAACTGAGCCCAAAATTTCAGTTGCTAAGTGAGACATTTAAGTTAATTTTGCCCCACATTACGACCTTGTTTGCCACAGTTGTTAAGTGAATCACTGCAGTTGTTAATTAGTGACATGGTTGTTAAGAGGATCTGGCTTCCCTATTGATTTTGCTAGTCAGATGATTACAAAAGGTAATCACAGTATTCCAGAACACTGCAACTATCATAAATATGAGATAGTTGCCAAGCTCCTGAATTTTGATCATGTGACCATGAGGATGCTGCAACAGTCATAAGTGTGAAAAAACAGTCATAAATCACTTTTTTCAGTGCCATTGTAACTTTGAATGGTCACTAAACAAACTGTTGTAGTTCAAGGACTACCTGTAGTCACTGCCACTAGAGGTAAAAGAGTTGCAATTTCTGGAGATCTTCAAACAAAGGATCAAAAGTAATACTGGGGGTTGGGGGTAGAACAGGGATTGAAATATGTTCTTGTTCTCATGCAATTTTAATCAGGCAACAACATCCCACCCAACCCCCAAAAATAAAGATGGGAACTTTGCTTCAGAATTACCTACTAGTGTGGGTTGAGTGGTTCAAGGAGTACCTTAAATATTCAATAGTATATAGACTGTGTTCACGTATAGTGATGTGTCCAGAGGTTTTAAATGAGCCACGAAGGTCTGGTTCATAATTCGCTGTTAATCACTGGTCTTACTTATCATTCTAAACCAGGGGTGTCAAACTCAATTTCACTGAGGGCTGCATCAGGGTTGTGTTTGGGGGGCTGGGGTGGGCGTGGCCAGCATGATGTCACTCGTGTCAGGGGCGCCTGTGGTGGCCTGAGTGCTCCACCAGCGAAAACTGGCTGCTGAGCTCTGTTTTTGGCTCTCTTCAGGTCTCTGTTACTATTATCCAGTGTAGTTTTTGTTTCTCATACAGAGATCCCGAACAATTTTACATTTTGTTTCCTTTCTCTCTATTGCCCTTTCCTTGTGTTGCTCTGCAACAGTCTGATCATTCAATAATACTGTGAAATAGAAAAGCTAATCCAGCTTGATGCAGGATGCCTATTCACCTAAACCCCCTTCTTCTGTTTTTAGCTTGGGTAAAGGAAGGTATGTCAATTATGGTGATTTTTCCCAACATCTGTGACAGCCCATTAACCCAAACTTTTGTTTTCTGTAAAAGCCAAAGATATAAGTCTACCGAAGAAGCCAACGTTCAGAATCAAAATGCAGGCACATTTTGCTGTCTGTGATTACAGGAGAAGGATTTCTCAGGAGTGCCTCTAGCCTGATGGGCAGGGAGACCCTGCTGGCATCTGAGCATCCAGGAGAATGAATGACTTCAGATGCATCATAATTTGTGTTATTTCCATGATAATGTCATTTTGATTAATAGGGAGCCTCAGCAAGCAACACTAACACTAACACGGTTGTCCATTGTTAAAATTTCTGGATTGCTGTTGTAGATAATGAGGCTAAGAATGGCATTTGATCTCCAAGTTTTGTTTTCTGCTGAAATAAATCACATTTTTCATGTTTTCTCTTCCAGGTACCTGTGAGATATGATATAATGTGGCATAGGAAGCGACAGTTAATGTCTGTTGAAAGTGAAGTAATTGACTTATATCCTCCCCTGAATGTAACCAATGGGACCAACACAACATGCATCCTTTTCTATGCAACTAATTTCACACTTACCGTCAACACCACCATTCACATGAATCTAACAAATTCGACATTTCTGTCTGATGGTGTGGACACGAATTCATCTGTTTGTTCAGACACCAATGCAACGTGAGCAGGATTAAAATATTATTTCAGCACTGATCCTCTTTAATAGTAAATTAGGCAATGAGGCAGGTTATCACTTTTTAAATCACAGATAACAGAGCTAAAATACTAGAAATCCATAATAGTTCAGATTAAGATTGACTGTATTAACAAGATAATTATGAAATTGTGCAGTTCTTTTTGTGCTTTTTGCATTTTAAAACAAATTTGTCTTAGAAAAATCCCAGGCTTTGTACATTTTTACATTCACTTTATTTTGTAAATGAGTATGGATATAGTCCTATAGACATTTACCTGGAGGCATTTTCTACAGCAGCGTCTACAGTTGCAGTCAAGAGGAAACAGCTTGACAAAAGTTGTACGACACAAGCTACAATTCTTTTTACATGTGCATTATGATGTCACATGCATGCTTGAAATGGAGTAGCAGCTGGGCAATATTGCTTTCAACATTTTGGAGAAACATGAAAGCTTCTGCATCTATGCATGTTTTCTACTGAACTATTGCATCTGGAAAACAGCTTTGCGTAGGCAGACTTATGGACCAACACTTCTTTTATAGTTGGGAAATTGGACTAAGGCCCCTAAAATGGCAATTTTTCTATATTAAGCCAGGAGAACAAAGCCACTAAGCCAGGGGTGTGCAATCTTCGCAACTTTAAGACCTATGAACTTGCTGGTTGGGGAATTCTGGAGGTTAAAGTCCACAGATCTTAAAGTTGCCCTCAAGAGACAAAAGTGTTAATTGTATAGTATGTGCCTAAATAACTCTCTTGTTCTGTGCTATGCACTTCAAGAGGAGTGTGTCTAGAATTCATGGTCTGCATGAGCATTTTCCTACATAGTTTAGGAAATCCCATTATTACACTGCCCCTTAAATGAAAAGCAAAAAATATTTTTGCTGATATCTTACCCATCAATTTGTGGCCAGGCTCAAGAATGGAGTTCTTGGATTAATTCCAAAGCCTGACATATTTTAGGTATAATTTTATAGGTGGAATCATTATAAGTGTCCATGACCCCAAAATATGATTCTTGCTTACAATCACTATGTACCCATGTAATGTATATATATTTTTGTGATGGCCATATTTGATTGTGCTAGTGTTTGCTGCCAAAACCACAGAAGCAGCCATTTTAGGTGACCTTTTAATCCAAAATGACGCAACCAAGATAATTAGCTGATTTTTGTGGGACCACATCTTCTGAAAAATTCTCTCACAGTGCATCCCCCAAATTGAAAATGAGCAAAATTCTTCAGGCTCGATTTAAGTTGTGACCAGCAGCTATGAGGAAAAGTAAAGAACGTTTGCATAATCATGAGAGAGTTGTATTGAAGAACATCATGCACTGGCATCCTGTCCCTACAGAGTCCCTACAGAATGTCCCAGAATTCCTAACTAGACAGTTAGGAAAGAATTCTAGTTCCAACATATCTGGGGCATGGCAAACTGGGAAAGCAAAGCAGCCACTGACAATGAATGTGTGGTCCTTTACCAATTCCAGCCCACATAAACATGGACATATCATAAGAAATTATGAGTATCTTATTAGAAAAGTAACAAAGAAAAACATTCACACTATAATACAGCAGACTTTCTAATGCCATTATGTTCAAAATATTCTGAGGCAGGGGTGAAATGCTCCCAGTTCGGACCGGATCGCCCTATCAGGTAGTGATGGAGGCGGGTGGTTCAGAGAACTGGTAGCAAAAATCCCTGCCCCCCCCCATGCCCAGCTGAGCCGCGCGATCAACAGAGGCTTTTTTATTTTATTTTTAAAAGCATTTTTTCTACAACCTCTTCGGCTGAAAAAATGCTTTTAAAAGTTAAAAAAAAAAAGCCTCTGATGATCGCGCGGCTCAGCTGGGATCGTCAACAGCTTTTAAAAACATTTTTTCTACAACCTCTTCAGAGGTTGTAGAAAAAATACTTTTAAAAGCCTCTGATGATCCCAGCTGAGTTGCCTGATCGGCAGAGGCTTTTAAAAGAAAAAGAGCCTCTGCCGAACAGGCAACTCAGCTGGGATCGTCAGAGTCTTTTGAAAGCATTTTTTTACAACCTCTTCGCCGAAGAGGTTGTAGAAAAAATGGTTTTAAAAGTTTTTTTAAAAAATGGCCACGGCCACATTACCCCCCAAGCCACGCCCACAGAACCGGTAGTAACAAATTTTAGATTTCACCACTGTTCTGAGGGTGTTAGGACTAGGGAGGAGAGTTGAAAGAATTATATATCTGGAAAATCACTTTTCAAAACAACTCTCTTTTAAAAAATGCTTTAAAAAAAAACCTTCTATACAAGTTAAAATGAATAGCCCATTTTCCTATTTCTCATATTAACTCAAAAATGCATTTTATTTCTTGATGCCCATGATTGAAGAACATAGCTACTCTTTTAATTTATATCAATCTTCCCCAGCCTGCCATTCTCAGATTTGTAGAAATACAAAGTCAGGTAGTAAAAGCCTGATGACTAGCAAATGCCTAATTGTGGGGAAATGCTTTTTTAAAAAAATGTCTATACAAGTTAAAATACAAAGACTAGGTCTTCTTATATACAGTATTCCTTTCTTTCATTTCCAAAACACTTATGTATGATACTTCTCCATGTACACTCCACTCTGCCATGCCCTAATTTTTATTCTTTACTCTCATTCTATGAGACAATTCTTTAATTGTAATCTTATTCCAGGAAGCCTTTGGCAGATTTACATTCAAGTGAATTCTTAAGAGTTGTTGTAGAGTCCAGTTCAATTTATAGCTTATCCACTTTTGTTTGCCAAGAAAAGAAAAGATTCTCCTATCTGGAGACTTCTATTATTATTTCTCTATATTTACTATCAATATATAGTATATATTCACTATATATATTATTGCTAAAATACTTCCCTATGTGTTATTTCCTTATATTTACTGGTTCATTATCTAGATTTTATTTGAAAATAAACTGTTAACATTTCTTTTCTTTTTCTTTTTCTCTATCAGGTTGTCATTAAAATACACCAACCTGGAGAATGAGAAGATTGACATCAAGACCCTGGAAATAAGGTAGTTCGGAAGAATGTTGTAAAACTGCAGATAAGGTTTATTATTTTTTCTTTATATATAGAATATATATAGTGTGTGTGTGTGTGTGTATACACACATGTATGTATATACTTGTGGCTCAGAGGTTAATACAACTGACTAATATGCAGGCAGTCCAAGTTCGAATACAGTATGTGTATACATACATGTATGCATACATACACACACACACACATGTCAGCACTTCAACCTGCATTTACTCTAGTGCTGACATAAGAAGGAGAAGGGGGGGCAGCTGGCAAGAGGACGATATCGAAACCTGACAACACACATATATGAGAGGTAGGATCCAAAGTACTGTAAAATGTATTCCTTAAGCCTACAGGATTCAGGTTTTTTTAATATGGAAATCCCCCCCCCCCATGCTGAGGGAAACAGTAGACTACTTTTGAAAGCAAAATGATTTTCTGGAACATTTAGGGGACATGGGATGATAGGTTACTAGTTCAAAAAGAAAAAAAAAAAGTCCTGAAGTTTTGCTAGGTCAGCAGTAGGCATCTTTCGCCTGTTAGAGGATCAATTTTGTTTCTCAGTCCAGGCAATTAGCTTCTATCTGCTTTCTTTGAATCATATATTATGCATCACTGAGACGATTTCACATCTCAATAGATGCATTATGAATGAATGTATATTATTAGAACAGGAAAGCAACAAAATCCAGATGGGCATATGCACCACCTTATTATTGTCTCTCCCATTTATTTTGGAAGCAATTACAAAGTGAACTGATCTTCCCCCCTCAAAAAAATAATTAAATATCAGCTAGGGATAATTTAGAGTAGCATTGCTCAATCTTAGCAATTTAAGAAATCCAGCATCTTAAGATGTCTGGATTTCAACTTCCAAAATGTGTCTTCATGTTTTGCTAGGCTTCTTTCCATCTCTTTTGGCTGCCTAAAAATAATATTGCTCCATTTTCTCTTGAAATAAAGGGGAATATTATGGAGATGCTTCAAGTCTAGCCAACATTTTCAGATTTTGCCATTTAAATCTACTGACTTGCTTCTCCATCCTACAGCTCTGCATGCCTCATTTACACTTTTTCATATTATTTCCCATTATGTAGTGATGTATTATTAGATGTGTCTTTACTGACAAATCTGTATTGTTGCATGGCTAGATTATGTCATCTTAGATTGTTACTATCTATCGTCTAGGTTCCCATTTATTTACCTGTTGTTTGCTGGTCAACCAACTCAGATAGTCAAAACAGAAACAAGTGTATAAATCACAGCAACCCCAATCAAGACAAAACCCAGCAAATCCTTCTCCCTTGTATCAAACAACTGGTGAAGTTACTGGTTTAGTAAAGTAGTGGTTGCAGGAAGAACAAACAAGTTCAGTGAATACCACTTTAGAATCAAAGTGATATGAACACACAAAGTTAAACTGCTAAGTGTGAATATGTCTGTAGTAGCACAGTTAGGACCAGATTATATTTATTCATTTTTTAAAATGATCCTTCTGAGGAAGAAATTACTTCACCTGAAGTTGGCCGCACACATTCTGGATCTTCAATCCTGCCTAAACTAATGGCTTAACAAATCAATTGTACAGCACTGTAGGGAAAATACAGTTCGCTATTGAGGTCAAACTGGAATGACTGGAAAGCAATTTATTACAAATAATAAAGACTATCTTGGGAATGAATAAATAGAATAACACAGACAATGAATTTAAATTAAAAAAACTTAAATCTTTTGCCACATGGTTCAGGGTACTATTATTAACAAGACAGCCAAGGGACCACAACACTTAGCAATGTTAAAATGCAACAGTGATATTTTCCACCAGAACAGCCTCTGGCAGACCAGAGCTAATGAAACACTTGCAAGTAATATAGAATTCAAGAATTCTGATAAAAAAAAAACTTCATAAGAAAATGTTAAGTTATAATAAAAATTGTGAGCTGCAAGCAGGCCAAACTACAACATTAATATTGATGGGAACTCCATGTTTATCTTGCAGCTATTGCAGAAATCCTCCTGATTTGACACACTTATACAATCTCTTCCTTATTTAAATTATTTCTTAAATGATTATTAACAGACTTCCAACTCCAACAGACAAATATTCCCAAAGAGGGGAAATATTGCAACAGTTGAACTGTGAAAGGAAATTCATACTTATAGGAGTATAAGATGCTGTCCTAAACATATTACTTTAGATGTTCACTCTACTGCTATTTCCCTAAATAACAAGAAATTTCAGGATATCAATTTAGAAAATAGGTTTACTGTATCTAATCAGGAAAAAGGAATGCTCTGAATAGCTAGTTCAGATCTAGTAATCAACTAAACTTTTGCAGCTCAGATTTGGTAGCCTTAGACTCAACTGGAGACTTCTTTCTCAACTGTCTTCTTGATTTTTGAACTGGAAATGCTAGGGAGTAATTCTTGAATCTTGTCTGTTTCTGTTATCCCAATCACTAATGAAGACAGAGGTCGAAACTGAAGTTGAACTGGCTGTTACTGTATATTAAACATAAGCTAGGAAGACAAAGAGAGAGAGAGGGAGGGAGGGAGGGAGGGAGGGAGGGGGAGAGGGAGAGAAAATGAAATATTGGTATATTGATATTCCTGGACAGATTACAATAGCCTAGCAAAGTCATTTATTAATTAATCTCCAAGGTCCCTTTAAGTCTATGAAAGAAGTTAATTTCCTACACTGTTTTTGTGATCCAATTTTTGATGTGTGGGAACATATTCAGAGATATCCTGCTGCCACACTCAGGTATACATATTTTTATCTTTCAATGAATGTAGCATTGTTCTTCTAAAAGTCCCTTTTTCTAGGTAATAAAAGTCTCTTCTTCTCACACACACACACACACACACACACACACCCAAAGAAAATAAACATACCTCTTTTGGGGATTGCTCTCATTCAGAAAAGTAGCCAAATCCAATTGTCTACAATTTTTATGTGTGTATATATTTAAAAGAACAAGAAATCCTTGGAATCTATTTGTCAAATAAAATCAGTGGTGCTAATAGACACTTTGAGACCTTCTACGTCTTCCTTTTCTCATCCACATGGTTTATTAGGAAGTTAGCACTTTTTCATAGACAAACATTAAAAAGTAAAACAAAACAAAACAATAAAACATCAGCTGGCTGTTGGACACACAGTTTAAATAATAAGACTAAAAGTTGATCTGGTTATTTCTCTCATCACATACCACTTTGTCTCTGTGTATGCGTGTGTCATTTGATACTTTCTTTGAATACATGGCCCTACCTTTCGTCCCTGAGGTGTGACTTTCATCTTGTGTTTTTACCTCCAAATGTTTCAAGTGTATCTGTATCTAATCTTACTTTCTGATGCTTTTGATTCTTCTTCTGTGATGATCTCAGAATGACTCTTTGTCATGTTTTGTTCCTCTCTAGATTCTTGATGACCAACATGTTCTACACTGGCTCTTCAAAGAATTGGTTCACTTTAGATTTTATTCATATTCTGCAAGATAACAGGGATGCTGAAGATGAACCTGCTATATTTAATGTCTCAACTATCTATGGCCCTGCGGAGTACTCATTTCATTGCCCTTTGGTGGGCACAGAGAAACACTATGATGTAATACTAATTCCAGCTAACGAGAAAGCTAAAAACTGGAAAATTGATATTTCTGATTTCCAAGTGAGTACCTATCATTATTTAAGAAACAATACCAAGAGCTCTAACTTGGGGTTCCAAGGAACTGAAACTTAATACCATCTATGCTTTTTCTCCAATCATATGTGAAAGTTTTAAAAAAACTAAACAATTTAAATGCCTTGCTCATGTTTTGTCTTATCCAGTAAGACAAGGATAAAAATGTATTTCATATCCAAGGGAATTGAAGAAGTAAGGGACACAAGGAGTGCAGGGCTGAGTATTTTGGAGAGGTGGAATTTGGAAAACTTTCATTTTTAAGCGGTTACATTTGGAGATATATTGTTATGGCCTGGCTGATGAGGAGGATGGAGAGGCAAGAGCACCTAGAGACAATCATCTTGGTGAGGATTTTTCCAGTAGTAGTGGAAGTAATTAGTCCACTCCAGTTGAGATAGTCCCAGCAAATTCCCAGGGCCCCTTGCCTGCACCTAATGACAGCATCTCAGATTTTATCCAGCCAAACCAGAGAGCAGAACTCCATAGAGTGGAGAAACTTCCAAGAAGCAAGCCAATAGAAGAGCCAATGCTGTAGAATAAACTTAAATAACTATGTCCCAAAAGCTTCTTCAGCTCTGGCAATTTTCTGATTTTTCTGTGAAGATGTTTCACTTTTCATCTAAACTGAAACTTCTTGGATGAGATGCGAAACATCTTCAAAAAAAAAAACCCAGAAAGTCCAGTTGCCTCTTTAAAAAGCATCTTTGGGACAACCATGGCCTGGATGACTGAGAATCTCCATAGACATTCCACAACTATGTATTGTGTGGAAGTTCAAATTGGCTTATTGATTGTCCTGACTTCCTAAGAGAAAATGCTGAAAGCAACATTCCAAGCATCATCTCTGTGGTATTTACCTTACCATGAACTCTGAATACCACTTCCCTGTGCCTCTAGTCATTTCCTTTGGATTTGTCCCTTGTTTATTGGATTCCTGGTCTTGACCTTGCCAAGTCTTTGAACATGTTTCAGTTGCCATCTTGAGATATAATGAAAAGGACTCTTTGCTTCTAAATGTTCTGCTTCAGCTTGCATATCCCTGGACTGTGTCAGGCATCCAGCTTGCTATGTTGGCTGGCAGCCTGCAGTGCCAGCACAATGTGTAAATTTGGTCTGTCCACCATTTCAAGTCAGATGGAAACTGTAACATCTGTTTTCAACCATCATGGTTATTCTGTATAGGACTTCAAAGGTCAAAAGAAGGGAACTCCCATATACTCCAGCCTGCAATAATTGAAATATTATGATGACTAGCAATTGTAAAAACAGTATATGAAATACATACAATAAAAGTGTACTTCCCTTCCCATCATAATATACAATGTAACTCTAACTAGAATGTCTACCTTCAAGTTCCTGTTAATGCCAGACTAGTTATTTGTGTGCTACATAGCATGCAACTACATATTTTCCCCATTTAATTGCAAATGACAGAAGGGAACATTAAGTTTTACTGGAACATATCTCACTCCTTCCCAGCATACTTGGTCAAAATTGCACACAGATGCACGCACGTGCACGTGCGCGCGCGCGCGCGCACACACACACACACACACACACACACACACACAAATGGCTAGGGCCCATCCTGCATACTAAAAGGCCATGTTGCATCCATTTTTGTTACTTTTTGGTAATGTCAAAGATCCTAGTGGATGGGAGATAATTAGGCTAGGTAAAATCATGGGAAAAATGCTAAAAGAAGGCAAGGCATTGTCCATTAAATCTCGATAAGATTGAGTTTGACTTGAGGACATTTTTTTCTTTTCCAGCTGTAGACATTGTAGGAGGAGAGCTGTGTTACTCTATGATAGCCAATAATCAAAGTTGATAGGATGTTTTCAGAATAAATTTCATTGAAGAGCATAAGCTTTCATAAGCTACAATTCACTTCTTCAGAAACTTGAGGTGACTAATGTAGGAATTAAATTAAGATGAGGTGGGGAGAGGAATTCAAATGAAGAGAATGTGCTTATGTCATAGAGGTTACATGTCAGACAAATTTCAAGTATCTTTATCAATTAAAAATTGCAATGCATTAAAAGCCCATTGGGATCCTTAGACCTGCTAGGATTGTTTTAAAGTAGCCATTTTGGAAAAAAAAGAAATATGAGTAGTCCAAACAAAGTAGAGATTGTTAAACTCATATGCATCAAAAGATTTCAGCTATCTCATAAGGTCTCAGCAAACAAATTACATGAAAGCATTTTAAAAATCACGATTTAGCTTCAGAATAATAGAAACAGACTATGATGAATATTAGACTTGGAAACCTTGTCTAAAGATTTTGATCGAAAGATATAAGAGAAGAAAGTGGGTTTATGTTTTTTCCAAGTTTGCCCATCAATAAACTGCAGGGAGTTTCATCTTTACCTTCTTGTTAGAATATAACTACCATATTTACATCTCAAAGTGATGCCAAAGCTTGGGAAAAAAGGTAGCTGAGGGCAGACATCAAAGCAGGTATTGTTAAAGCCAAACCAGAGATGTTAAGATAATGAAGCTTCCATACTGAGTAGGAGTCAAAAAGAAGCCAAATAGTTTTTGTTGTTGTTGCAGTTGTTGGCAAGATTAATACTGCAGCAATACCTGTAAATGTAGCCCATTCAGTCTTCTTTAGATAAAGTGCTTACTAACATCAAAGCCTTTAATATGTTTCATGCACTTTTAACTCGAAACGCAGCATCTAGTATGTTTTATTTAATTCCCATTCACTGGTCTGTGTGAACTAAAATACAGATAACAGATAACCTTTAATAATAATAATAATTAATACAGATAACCTTTCTTTTTTTTCCCCATTGAAATTATATTCTTTCTTTAATGAAAGATTGTCTTCCTCTTTTTCTTTCTTTGTGATGTATGCGAATGTGCTTGAGACAGAGACAGATAGAGACAGAAATTTTCTTTGCAAGCTCTTTGGAAGAGCTTTATAGCTCCTGCTGCCTTAAGAAAGTTCAAAACATTCTTAAAGATCCATCTCATCCTGGGCACCCTTTTTTTTGAACTATTACCATCTGGCAGTTGGTACAGGATAATAAAAACAAGGACAAATAGGCTGAAAAACAGCTTCTATCCCAGGGCAGTAACTCTGAATAGAGTTGAATATTGAATAGAGCAATATTAATGCAATATCGGTTTTCAATTCAATTGTATAGAATGTGAAGGATGTGTGTTTGTGTTTTATTTTTATAATTATAATGTACACTGAAGATGGCATTTAATTTCATTGTACGAGGTGCAATGACAATAAAGTAAACTAAACTAAATTAAACTAACCAATGATTTCCAGTTTACATTCTCTCCATGCCTAAAATACATACTATACATAGACGCCTTCTCCAAAACTGCCATCCTACTTGGTTCCAATGCAGCAGCAAGAACAAAACAAGCCATATGATGGCAATGAGATTGTTGAGCCAAAGTAAGGATCCTATCTTATTTCTGTTTGAATGAAATCAGAATCAAGAATTATAATGGGAATGTTTAATTGCATTTCATCATAGGTCCAAACTGCCTTCCCAAAATACACATAAGCAGCACAGGTAATAAGATAAAATTCTCTGGGACACAACAAAATAATGACCTACACGTTGAATAATAGCCTCTCTAGCACTTGTTTCTGGACACATCCCAGTAGAAAGAGCTGAAGCTATTACAAAACTGTGCCACCAAGGCCCAACTCTAGCAGATAACCTAGAAATATATCAGTGGTATCAAAAGCTCCAAGAGACACAGAGAATTATTAGGGTTACTCTCCCCATCTAGTTCCAGTGTAGGACAATCACTAAAAGAAAAATCAATTATTATCAAGGAGACAATCCCACCTGCTGATTTCATCAGGCAAGAATGGTAAGGAATAAGCAAAGGAATTCTCATGTCTCTGCGTACAGTAACTGTCCACATCCTTAAGATCTACAAGATAAAAACAATCCACATGCATGGAATAAGCAATTGCCATGATCATCTTCTTGGCTATCTGGAATCCACATTGTGGCAATTCTGATCGCTCTATCAGAATTGAATATGCATAAGAATATGCATAAGAGCACCAGCGTGCCTACTGTCCCTATCCTAATGTTCCCTTTAATTGTATTCATTTTATGCATTCAATTCATGCTTATACATACATACATACATACATACATACATACATACATACATACATATATACTATCTAATATGTGCTCGAAAAAAATAAAATAAATAAATAAAAATAAAAAATAAATCTGCAAATAATAATGAAAACTGCTCCAAGTATTCCTTTGAATATCCCATTTTCTCTGCCCTAGCACTTTCAAGGAGAGCATACATATGATCTAGAAAAATATTAATGGCTTATGCTGTGCAAATGCAACAGAAATAACGAAGTAAGCTTCTTTGCTTCATCTTCTGTTCCAGAGTTGGAATTCAATGACTGATTCCATTTCTATCCAATAAGCATTATTATTATGCTTTTCAACTTGTATAGCATGATGTACAAAATTAAGACCACCATCCATTTACTCCGTTCTCATTAAAATGTCAGTTCAGACTGGCTTCATGATTTTAAAAAAAGTGATTAGTGCCTCCTTACAGCTGGGATGTGTGCTTCACATATACTGTACACACCCATACACAGTCACTGCCTAAATGACCTGTACTAAAGCAACCTTCCCTTGAGCCAGAAACTATGTCCTTTATAATCCAATCTCAAAAATTCCATTTCTGGGAAACATGATTGACTTCAGGTGCATCTGCATGCTAACAATTATCCGGGCATGTTTCAATTAGTTACATCACATCTTGACTAATGAAAAGTGTTTTATGTTGGGAATTGCTATGATTTATGTTCTTGCATCAGAGATCCAGCCATTTAATGGCAGCATGCCATCATTTTGGGGTTATCTTCGGCTGTTAACCAGTGCAAGATACAAGGAAGGAAAGAGCTGTGCTGGTTAAGTATTTTACTAAATACAATTAAACATGTTGGTGTCATCCCTGAAAAGCCTAAAGAACTTAGAGTCCAAGAGAGGGATTCTCTCCCCTTCTATGAGTCTGGTTGTAAATGAAGATCTGTAGAAATGGCCCTTTTGATAATTTCCTACTATCAAAGAGTCATTTATCTTACATGTGAAAGAAAGCTGTTAAGGTTGCATTTGGAAAGACATCTTCTAAGTACAAATTCATTTTAATTTTTCACTTTTAAAAACTTCCAGTTCTGTATTTCAATTCTTTTTTTCAGTTGCTTTGGGATCTCCAAAATAGAAATGCAACATGTTGAACCAGATATTTGGATGACTCATTTTTCTTCTTCTTTTGCAGATCCAAGCTTTCAATATTGAAAACAATGTGTTTTCCTACGCAAGCGACTGCACATCATTTTTTACACCTGGAATTTGGATGGGTCTGGTCACCTCCCTAATTTTATTATTGATCCTTACCTATGGAATCCACATGATTATGAATCTTACCACCAACAGTAGATTTGATGACCCCAAAGGTCCAGCTCTTTCAGTCCCTCAAACAGAGTAACTACAAAATTGTAGTTTGGAAGAGTGTAGTTTCTCTGCCATTGGCTGGGCTATCTAAAGCTGTTGAGTTAGCTGAGTTTAATAAGTCCAGGGCTTCTGAGGGTATCAGTTAATTTATACTTGCTATGGGAGGAATCATATGCAAAGAATTAAAAATATGAGTTGCTTTGAAAAATGTGGGTTTTTTTATATAGGACACAATACAGTAATACTTCTGCCACCCTTCATTCTCCTCTTAATAATTATCAAAATTAAAATTTTGAGGCAAATCTGAGATTATTCATAGTTGTTGCCAATTATTAAAGAGATCAGTCTCTAGTGTCAGCTTTATAAATGGAATTTTTAAAACCTGTTATGCAGGTATTTAAGAAATGATTTAAGCAAGGTCTTATTAAGAAAATGTACATTGAGATTAAAAATTCATCCTAAACACATTTTAACAGAAAAGTAAGATCTATATTTTTTAAAAAAACAAACACTTTCTTATATCTTTTTAAATATAACATTCATGTCTAATGTTGTGATCAGATGAAATAGAGGAAATACTGCCAATTTCCTTTTTTAAAAAAATACTGGGTATTAAAGCTCCTGTTATGCAAATATATTCCTAACTGCAGATTCCAAGGTTGCTTTTTCTAATCATTTTATTGGAATGTTTTGCAGCCCAAATAATGATATGAATTTGAGTCACAGTCATATCCAAACTGCATATTTTGTACTGCTGAAAAAGAAATGAAGATAATTGTGTAACTATCACTTAACAATTATTTTTTTCATTTGCCACTTTTTATTCAGATGTGAGGCTACTATGAATGGGGTTTAAAATGATGACTACTAGTTGGCAGTTATTTATTTATTTATTTATTTATTTATTTTATCATATTTGTATACCGCTCTACTCCCGGAGGACTCAGGGCGGTGAACAGCCAAGATAAAAATACAAATAACATGCAAAAGTTAAAAACTATTAAAAATAGATTAAATAATTTGGGCTCAAAAAACAAGTTTAGGACATCCAATTTATGTAAAACATTTAAAACCCAATTTAAAAGGGAGAGTTAGGCCAGACCAGCCTGTTGGAATAAAAACATTTTTAGGGTGCGGCGGAAGATGCATAAGTCTTGGATCCTCCGTACCTCTGGGGGGAGCTCGTTCCAGATGGCAGGTACCCCCACAGAGAAGGCTCTCCCCCTGGGGGCCACCAGTCGACATTGTTTGGCCGACGGCACCCTGAGGAACCCCTCTCTATGGGAGCGAACTGGTCGGTGAGAGGCTACTGGTGGCAGAAGGCGGTCTCGTAACTATCCTGGTCCTGAGCCATGGAGCGCTCTAAAGGTGGTAACCAAAACCTTGAAGTGCACCCGGAAGACCACTGGGAGCCAGTGCAGCTAGTGCAGGAGGGGGGTCACATGGGAGTGCCACGTCGCTCCCGTCACCACCCGCGTGGCCACATTCTGGACCAGTTGGAGCCTCCGGGTGCTCCTCAAGGGGAGCCCCATGTAGAGAGCATTGCAATAGTCCAGGAGTGAGGTGACAAGGGCATGAGTGACCGTGCGTAACGAGTCCCAATCCAGAAAGGGATGCAACTGGCGAATCAGGCAAACCTGATAAAAAGTCCTCCTGGCCACGGCCGCCATATGCTCTTCTAAAGACAGCCATGAGTCCAGGAGGACGTCCAAGTTGCAAACCCCATCTGTGGGGGCCAACGACTCGCCCCCAATAGTCAGTGATGGCGCCAACTGACTATATCGGGACGTCGGAAACCACAGCCACTCGGTCTTAGATGGGTTGAGCCTGAGTCTGTTCCTTCCCATCCAGATCCGTACGGCCTCCAGGCACCGGGACATCACCTCGAGGGCATCATTGGGGTGGTCTGGGGTGGAGATGTACAGCTGGGTGTCATCAGCGTACTGATGGTACTTCACCCCAAAACCACGGATGATCTCACCCAGCGGCTTCACATAAATGTTGAACAGAAGGGGCGAGAGGACCGATCCTTGCGGCACCCCACATACAAGGGGCCTCGGGGTCGACCTTTGCCCCCCTGTCAACACAGACTGCGACTGGTCGGAGAGAAAGGAGGAGAATCACTGTAAAACAGTGCCCCCCACCCCCAACCCTTCCAACTGGTGCAGCATGATACCATGGTCGATGGTATCAAAAGCCGCTGAGAGGTCTAATAGGACCAGGACAGAGGAGCAGCCCCTGTCCCGAGCCCTCCAGAGATCATCAACCAATGCGACCAATGCCGTCTCCGTGCTGTACCCGGGCCTGAAGCCTGACTGGAACGGATCTAGATAAGTCGATTCATCCAGGTACTGAGGCAGCTGTTGTGCAACCACACTCTCAACAACCTTCGCAACAAAGTGAAGGTTGGAGACTGGACGATAATTTGCTAACACAGCCGGGTCCAGTTGAAAGAAAACTTCCCTCTAGCGATTGACCAGATTTTTTTTAGCCCAGCCTTTTTCAGAAAGGCACAGGATCATATTTACAGTACCAACATCCTCAAGCTTGCACCTCAATTTTACTTTAATTTTTCATTCATTCTCTTTCTTATTCCTTCAAGAAATAGTAAAAGAGAATGGCACAATAATTTAAAACAATGTTAAAATGTTAAGATAAACTCAAAGGAGTAGGATTCGACACATTTGTATTTCAAAACAGGGATATTTGGAGTGGGAAGCCAAAAAATAGAAACATTACTGTTTCAGAATTTTGTTCAGGATTCCAGTGATCCTTTAATAATGAAGGGTCAGCATAAATACATTAATTTAGGACAGTGAATTCGAACCCCACTTTAGGCATGAAAACTGATTAGATGACTTTGGTCAGTTACTTTGTCTCAGCCTAACCCATCTCACAGGATTGTTGTTATGGGGGGAAATAGAAGACAAGTGTTAGATATGTTTGCCACCTTGAGTTATTTATAAAAAGTAATAATGGTGAGATTTATTTTTTTTAAAAAAATATGCTTAATGAATGAAAGCTGCAGTAAGAGCAGTCAACCAATGGAGTAGATTGCTTCATACAAATGATACATTCCTCTTCACTGGAGGTTAGATGACCATCTATCCAGAATGCTTTAGCAGTGAGCAATGAGTTGACCAAGATGACATGTAAAGTCCTTCCCAACACCTGTTCTATTGACCTCTTACTAATAAACAGTTCAGCTTGAAAGATGCCTAGACATACCAAGCCATGTCCTAGTTTCACTGAACAACTCACCCAATTTCTTCACATGCATATCTTGACTAGCCAGGGTCTAACTTTGTGTTGCCTCTATAAAATGACTATTTTGGTCCTTCTTTTAGTCAGAAAAGCCCTTCTCAGACTGAAGACAAAATTTTACCCATAAACTATATAAAACCTCTGTGTTGTATCTGTTTCCTCTGCATACACATCTGAGGAAGATTTATTTTCATGCTTCTGTTTAATGAGACTTGAGGGTGGGTGAGGGAATGCTGGATGGTTTTAATTTTACTTAGTCTGAATAGCCTTGTGTTCTTTACTTATCTGCTGTCAATTAATATTCCATGCCAATTTACAATTAAAGGTGCATTGGATTACTTTATTAGTTAGGCATACTGACACATTTACACAGCCAGCATCTTATTTTATTTTACAGAAAAAATATAATCTATTTTGACACTGTGGTATCTATTCATTTCCTGGGTAGAAGCCCTTCAAGCAATATTTTGAAGCAGAGCAATATATTCGTAATTCTTACAGGGTAAACTGAAGGGGACACAGGAGATAGCATATCTCAGAAATTAATGTGGCAGCCTCTGGCTCTGCTAATAAGACACTTGCAATTTCTTCCCAACAAGAGAACAAAATTGAAAGTTGTCATAAGGAGACCATTTTCTCATAGTGTTGGTGGTACAAATCAATGACATACCGAATACATACCTATTGTGAACTTCTGACCACAAGAGGGAAATAAAGTAAGCATAAATAGTTGCCTATCACTCTGCCTGCTTTTGGTCTTTGTCAGCCCTTCAAGTTAGTCCAGACAAGAAGGAAGAAACCATGAGTACTAACACTATTGTAAGATTACAGCAACAGAATCTTGCAAGTCTGAAAGAATTTCTGCATTCCCTTACTTTTACTTTCCAAACAACTAGAGAGGGTCCCTTCTGAGACACTCCATACCCCTTTTCCTTCTGTGGGCTGAGACACCTTTTATTTGATTGTTGACTAGTCTGTGGCTCTTCTTTCTGACCCCCAAGATCATTCCCACATTCCATTACAGTCTTAGAGTTTGCATATCTGTGGTCACTTTATTTTGCTATTCTTCCCACATACCATGAGCACATGCCCTTAGTCTTCCTAGCAAGATATGGTTACTAGACACTAGCTTTGCATATACCTATCACACATTCATTGTAAATAAATGTCCTTAACTTCTTATTATTATAAAACCTACTTTACAAATAGTTGTTCAGACTGATTCCAACTTTTGGGAACTCCCACATACCACCCATGTAGAATGCTTAACCTCCAATAGTTATGAACAGAAATAATCACACTGGGTTATGCATAATGAGCACTGGGACATGTTGGGGTGTCAGGTTTTCAAAGAGGATCCCAGGTGTCATTATCCCATTTATTTATGATAAGCCCTTTTTTGTCATTTGTGGGTTTCTGAAAAAAAAGAATTCCAGGTGAACCTTTCTCTAAGGTAATTGTATTAGAGCAGTGTTTCTCAACCTTGGTAGCTTGAAGATGGATGGACTTCAACTCCCAGAATCCCCCAGCCAGCGCTGCTGGCTGGGGGATTTTGGGAGTTGGAGTCCACCCATCTTCAAGCTACCAAGGTTGAGAAACACTGTATTAGAGAATGATCTAGAACAGGGGTCTCCAGCCTTCGCAACTTTAACACTTGTGGACTTCAACTCTCTCAGAGTTGAAGTCCACAAGTCTTAAAGTTGCCAAGCTTGGAGACCCCTGATCTAGAAGTAGGGCAAATAGCCAGTTTGGTGCTGTGCTTAAGGCACCAGGCTAGAAACCAGGAAATTGTGAGTTCTAGTCTGCCTTAGGCGTGAAAACCAGCTGTCTGACCAGTCACTAACTCTCAGCCCTACTTTTTCTTGTGGAGAAAATAGGAGGAGGAAGGAGCTATGTTCTCCACTCTGAGTTATTTATAAAAATAATATTAAAAAATCTTTAAAATATAGATAAAATCAATTTTAAAAACCTTTAAAAATAGAGAAGAAGCAAAGAGAAGAAGAAATGGCAAGATGGCTGCAAGCAGGGCTCAGGTATTTCAATGGAAA